CAACAAATACGACCGTCTTCTTAATAACTGCATTCGATTCATTTTTAATCTTCGTAAATATGATCATATTTCGTCCTTTCGTCTTAAATTAAATTGGCTCCCAATTCGTCAGCGTCGTCACCTGCGGGCACTAACGACTCTCTACACTATTCTCAACTCTCCTAACTCGCCTTTGTAGGCGAGTTAGGAGGATGTCAAGTATGTACTTGACATCCTCCTTCCAGTTCTTGTGCTCCAATCATAACAGAACCCTTCGCTCTACAAATAATCTTCTACTCTTATGCCCTGCCCACACTTTTGCGTGTGTTCATTCTTCCTTCCTCACTCAATCTGTACTTCTATGGAATGCTCTTCCCCAGGATATCAGAATGGCGACCAGTCGTAATTCGTTTAGGGCGAAGGTGCGAGCTCTCCTTGACCGGAATGTAGCGGAATCATCATGATTCTTTATATATTATGGTATATATGTATGTGTATATATATAACACAATATATATGAATATGAATGTATGTATTCTTGTATGTAGACGTTGGTATTTATATATTATTTCATTGCTTTTTGCTCAGTATTGCTATCATTACTTCTTTTATGTCCACTTTATAATTCTCAACCAAAGGGTAGTGCACGTCCACACTCATTTCCACACCACCCTAAGGTAGACTGGTAGAGAATGCCTATGGCATTAAGTCCGCCATTGTACTTATGTGCATAAAGTTGATAAATAAATAAATAAATAAATAAAATAAAATAAATAAAAATCAAATGATGAATTTTCGGATTCGCTGCTCTCACCAAGGTTAATTATGAATTCTGACTCCATGTCAAAATGTCTATAGTATTCTTCTTCTTTCTTTTGTACATGTCGACAAGTATTACCCCACATCCCTTCATCAATTTGACTTAAACGTTCATTTATGAGTTTACATTATGCGAAGCAATATAATTCTTTAAATTTCCCCACACATTTTCTATGGGGTTTAGTTCAGGATGATATGGTGGCAGTCGAAGAATTTTTATGCCATATGGCTGAAGTATGTCGTCAATATTGTAACAGATATATTTTTCTTTATTTTTTTTAATCAAATCATACAGTTCAATTTTTTTCATATCTTGATTAAAAGCTATATTTTTTTCTGTCAGCCATCTCTGCATATCTATTTTTTTGGAATTAGAATTTGGGGCTCTGTCATTTTGAACGTTATGGTATGAGGCATTATCAAGCACAACCACAGAGTTAGGTGGAAGATTCGGTACTAGACGTTCTTTTAGCCACTTTTCATAGTTTTCTGCGTTCATGTTAGAGTGGTAATCACCAGAAACACTATTTGCTTTGTATGTCAATAGTGCGTTAGGTACGAAACCTTGTTCTGAACCAGCATGCACGATGATAATTCTTTGTCCTTTCGACAGGTTTCTCTTTAAAGGTGGTCCATCTTTATAACCCCATCCTTTGTTTTGCACATGATTGGTTAAGATGTAGCTCTCATCTGTATATACGATACACCGATTTTCTTGACGGTATCTGAGTAAATTTTTTAGGTAGGAAAATCGTAGTTTTTGGATGTCATGCCGCTCTATAATAACACGTCTGTTATCCACAGTTTTTCGCCATTTGTATCCCAACTTTAACAAAGCTGTACGCAGAGTCGAAATACTTCCATCATAGTTAAGCTTATCTTGAAATATTCTTTTCAACTTTAGCAAGGTAGGTAACTCGCGATGTTCTAAATGGTAATTTTGAATAGTGGAACGTATAACATCAACGTTAAAGTTGTCTAATTCTAACTTTTTTAAACGTTTTTTACGGTCTTTATGCGGAGATTTAAATTTAGAGTCAGATTCTTTTCCTACAGCCAATATATTGGTAATTGTTCTCTCTGATACCCCCTGCCATTGCTGTTCTTTTCCGTACGCTATTTAAATGTTCACAAATTTCGATATTAAAATTCGACTTGCACTGCAAACTGGATCACTTACTAGTTCCAATATATCTCTCGCATCTATTTTCAGAAATTCGTATACCTTAGCAATGGTTTCTCGAGTCTAAAACAATAATACGTAAACGTTAACAAGGATATATTTTTTCGTATATAGAATCATAATAAATATGAATTACATCTAAATTTAAAAAATATTTACCTGACTCCTTAAACATTTTCTCCGTGAAGAACTAGACATTTTCGTAAACGACTGTACCCTTAAGAAAAAGCGATAAGAACACGTCTTGCTCGGACGACGACTGCCGCGTCACTGCCACACGAATGAAAGTTGTACATTTACAAGCCCACGCACACATAGGGCCGCGCGCACAACTGAGTTGAACTATCTATAGCTACCTTTTGCTAGTACATCACTAGTGTCTGTTCGAGGACGTTGACATGATATATTTATTATATTATAGTTTTTTACGCCTTCTACATTTAGACTTTATTTTTAGTTTTACCCGATAATGCGCAACGTTAAATATGAGGTTAATGCTTCTCAGCAAAACGAATACTCTTGCAGACCAAATTCGTTGCTATATTACTGATCAATTAATTTATACAGTCCACATATCATACATATATGTACACATACATATTGTATATGTATTTAATTAGCTGTGTCTCTGTATTACAATTACTTTACCTGTAAGCAAATCAATAATAAAAACTCAGACGATCAATGTGCAATAATAATTTTTCAAATGAACATTTTCTACATAACGTAAACTTCTGAATTTTTAACTGTGTTGCGTTTACATACATACAATTAACGGATACAATATAATTTAAACATTGAACGTTTATTTGTAAACTATATTTTGATGGAGAAGCTAGTTTACTACACGTAACGTTACTTAAGAACAATCTAGAACATTTTCAGTTAGCGACATCCGTTGGTTGGTAGGTACTTCTGTTAATTATCTTGTTCGTCACACCCACTGCCGTACAAAAACGCTTGTTAAAATTTTTCTAATTAGTAAGTATTAATGTTAATCAGAAAATGTTTATTGAACATTAATTAACAGCAGTATTATTGTTATTATTTGTACTGTTATTCATTCTTAAACTTACATTATTATAAATTTTGGTGACAACATGTTGAATCTGTTAGGTAGAAGTCGTCCAGGTCTTAAATAGCTGCTGTATCTTTCTCGTCGCATATTTCCATTGTCTTAATCCTTAATATCGATCTATATTAGTCAATAGTAATGTTAGTAAGATAGGCAAGACTAATGGAAGCATATTCCCGAGTAGATTATACAATATGTATTTATTTCTTTTTTCTTTTAAGCCTGAAATACGTTACGGGATCCAGTAATAACTAAGTTGACAAAGCTTCATTACTATCACCTGAATGGTATGGAAGCCTATAGAATACGAACGAACGAAAATAAATATTAATGTTTTATATGGAACTACTTAAAAGTATCCTAAGCCGTAAGGAAAACTAATTTTTATGCAAAGGATCCAGAACCCCACAAAGACACAAACATACATATAAATATAGCTTAATAAATACATGATCAATAAATATTGAAGAAAAGTTACACCACACATTATATATTAAAAAGTAATAAGAGATTCTTAAATCAAATTATTGGTATTGACATTAGCATTTTCATATAGTAAAATATGAAATTAATTACAACGTACAGCTTTTGACTACTTGATGCTGCATTATCTGAAGTAAAAGTCCACCAAAACTTCATCATTTTAATCAGTGAAAGTTGGTGAGAACGTTTTGTTAAGTAGAAATGAGATGATAGTCTCCTCTCTCTCTCTCCTTCTGATCTTTATGAAATTTTAGCCAAGAACTTTATTTCGATTACAACAGCTATCAAAAGACAAAAACCCACTCAAAATTTGTCCATTCTTTTGAGGCCATTGAAAGACAAACACATAGAGAAGCAGATACACACACTTATAGTAATTCTCTACGTAGGTTTCTTGTATATGACGTAAGTTTCTTAATACATAAGTTACGGGTAAGATGTTTATAATAAGACTTTCTGGCGCTGTTTTTCAAGCTTTAGTATGACATTGATTGTTAAGACTGGATACTATTATTGTGTATATCTATTTCAAATCCGTGAAATCAACTAAAGTAAAATTACTTTCATGATCTAAGTTCTCCTATTTAATAAAATGTCTCATTCACTGTCTAATCAATACTGTCTAAGCAGTCATGTAATTCGGTTATCGATATTCTAGTACTTTTAAATCGTGTTTTACTCACTTGAAATGCAATCAACTGTGGTAATAGGGGATGCCCTACCAGTTTTGGACCCAACGGAGGCCTGTTCCAAAGAGTGAAGCGTCGTGAAACGTCTGTGTCAGACGTCACACTCTGTTTTTTACTTATATTTAACATACATAACGTATATGCATATAATAATATTATAAACCCAAAACTATTTAATTAGCTACTGACTGTTGTATAAAGGAATTATATTAATCAACAGTTATCCAACGTATAAGAGGGGCAATGACTTATTTATGATTTACTTACTAGTAGTGGATTATTTTACGCTCACTAATATCGGTGCCAATTTAAAGTAAGATTTGCATGACTTAGCCAAACTTTAAGAATGTATCGCAAGAATATATTTACTCCCTTAGTCGGCTCTTACGACAGCCACGGGATGAATAGGGGTGGTGACCCTTCGTATTCTTAATCCGTCACTCCACGGACAACAGCACTGCAAAGAGAAGGAAAACTTGAACCAAACTCTATACCACCAGGCCAGGCCACATGGCCAGGGTGGTACGGTAGGCCTTTATAAAGCCTTTATAAAGAGAAGCCTATGACTAGCAGTGGACTACTAAATGCTTAAGGATGATAATTATTGTGGATGTAAATAGATTAAATCCAGTAGTTCTAAAAATGTATAAAAAAATATGACTCACAAGCTTGATTTTTAATATGACTAAATAATGTGTAAGTGTTTGTGTAAGGTTACTCTATTTGTTTTCTCCAGTGCTTCTTCTCATATGTACATGTTTTATGCCCACAGAGAGAGAACAAAAAGGGCCAATTGGAAGTAACTCTTCTGTATACAGCAAGCGAAGACGGACTCGACGATATTGTGCAGCTCACTGTCAACAGGCTACGATGTAGTGTACAGACTATGCAGCAGCAAGAACAGTATAATGGTAACTTGAAGTTAATCTTTTAACATTTAAACTATTTATTTTATTGAATGATGACTAGTGCAATCATGACACTGTTGCACAACAGCAGTGTCTGCTGTTGTGCAATAATATTTATATATTTACAAAAAAAGGATGTTAGAAAGCATACCCACCATTAACTAAAAATAATATATTCTGAAATATTTCTTAAGACAGTTTAGTGATATAAATGCAAGAAGTAGCGTGTCCATATTTTTTTCTTTCACGGGGTACAGATAAACAAATGGCAAAAGCTGTTATTAAACAGGCAAGTGGTCACGTTGAAAGATGAGAATTTGAGATTTCTTATTGACGGTAAAGACTAATCAATAGTATTTTATGGCAAGGACGCTGGGGCCATATTAGAACATTTAAACATAACGGTAACTAAACGTAGAGGAGTTGTACTATTTTTAAAACACCGGGATTAGTCCTTTGACAACATATCATTATAATTTAAAATCTTATGCTTTTGTTTTACTTCCATTATGCTTTTAACAGTGCTATTGCTGATTGAAGAATAGATCAGTTACCTTGTAAATTGTGACGGACACCACCCCTATTCATCCACGGGATGATTAGGGTGGGTCAGTCTGCATTCTTAATCCGTCACCACATAGACTTGCCACACCACACATGCACTTACTACTACTAAAACTGTCAACTTAACAAACCGAACTAAAACTTTTCTATCATTCAGTAAAATGGTTCAAAACTCGTTTAGAATAGCATAAAGTCTGAAATAAGACGAAGTTTAATTAAAAAAAGAATACTAATATTAAAGAATATAATAATAGAATATAATATATTATTTTAAAGGATTTAGAAGATAAATAAGTATTTGGTAGTAATAACGTATTTTGAAGGTTATTGCTTTGAAAATAAGATTTACAGCGAAGTAACTGTTAGTTTTAACACCCATGTTTTCATTAAAATGTTATGAACGTTACATTTATTTTTTTCTGAGCTCTTCAGATATTACCTTTACATTTATATTTTTAGAACGATTTAAAAAACAAACACGTTTTTTTCTTTAATAAAAAAAACAGACAGATTCACCTTGAAACTTTGTTGTTCCTCGTTTTAAACTTTGATCAAATCACTGAGCTCGAAGCTTCGGATTAATCTGAAGAACTAAGACAACCACAAAACTTAGAGAACAATGAGAATTTAGGGTTAGGATTAAAATACTTTTAGTTCACTTTAACACCTTTCTCCTTAAAGAAATAGTAAACTAAATAACGAGATTAATGGTTATTCACTTTTAGAGTCTTTCATAACAATCATTGTCACAGAGTTGTGGTTTGATAAACCTTAATTGAAAAATATTTTTCCGTGAAACCAAAGGTTTAAAAGTTTTCAAATGAGTTTCGTAAATATATATACTTAATCGATTCATAACAGGAGCCAGCCTAGCGATACCCCAGCGCGTAACAAAACTTCATTCATGTTATTATCTATAGACGTTCGAGTCGGGTGACGGCACGCAATGCTGTTTGCTTATTAAAGAGTAGAGAGTTACGACGAATGCGTCTTGAATCACAACACAAACATTGAAGACATTACTTAAACATTTGTAGAAGGTTCAAAGTTCACGGATTCTGTAGTCTGTTTTATTATCTATGACAGCTCAGTTTTGGCACATTATTGTTTACTAGGCAACCGTCTTTTGGGCTCTTTTCAAAGAACCATCGTAAATATACTAACATGTGCAATATCTATTGCTTTCTGTACATTTTAGTTACACAGGTTATGATCGTTTCCTTTGTATGTAGGCAAGTCAAATTAAAAACAGTAAAGATGTTTATAGGTCTTTATATACCTAATGGAGGTCTACCTTGTAATGACCTGCAAACGTGCTTCCTATTCCAAACGGAACAATAACCGTTAATTCGGTTGACACCAAAACATTTAGGCTACGTAATGATAATTACACATACTTTGTTAGATAATATTATATGTTCATTTCACGTCTGTATATTGTTAGCCTAATATGCCGTAAAATGTTGTTTCTTATGAGGAAATTATTTATGTATGTACTGACAGGCGTGCATACGCTTATCATTTTAGCGATGACTCAAAAGTAGTTCTTGTCGCACGTGTAACAATAAAATTACATATTATTGTCTTCTTCATTACAATTTCGATGTACGAATATTATTTTCATTCGATATATGAAATTTTTAAATCAAATGTATCGTTGTTATTCTTTTTTATAATTCAAGGTCTTCCTGTCTGCCAAAACTTTAATTAAATAAATGGCTCTTTACTAATTACTATACTGATAAGTAAGTAAGTCATTTTTATCAAGGCCCGTATGTGGGAAAATAAATTTTTTGAGGTAGACGAATACCTAAATAAAATTAGAATATTACAGAAATTTGGTCTAGATGTAGGTACATGTACATTAAACAAAAAGTGACGAGAACATGAAAATTTACGTACCAGACAGTGAATCTTATCACAAATGAAAGCTTGTATCTGAATGATTAATTGTGATGAATTAAAAATTTTAAGAGCTACAATTCGAACCCATATGACATTCAAGTCTTCAACAAAAAAGCGACCTGAAAGTCCAGCAACGCAGTCATAGACTTAAGTGGTTTTAATGGGCGTCAGTCATCAGTTACCATCAAGTGACCTTAGCCCCCTATGTCATTAAATGTATAATAAGTATGAGTATTACTTGTTCGGAAAAGGCAAGAAAATAGTAACATAGTAAAATATTAGATACGGTATACCTGGGCCTCAATTCTGCTATTTTAATATTGTATCAATAATAATAATAATAATAATATGATTTATTTCTCAATATGGCCCAAACATACATAAACAGCGTTACAAACACGATATTGACAGTATTTACGATAAACTCTGGTACCCAGACTAAGATTCAACTTGTGTTTAGGGTACCAACGACGTCGCGCACGCTATAAACATACGTCGCTAATACTTGTTAGACAAACACAGCGCTAATCTAGAAACAAACTACAAAACTAATAGAGAAATAAGAAAAATATATAAATGGAAGAATAAACAAACAAATAAGTAAAATAACATCAACAGCTACAAATCAATAAACTGTCGATGGAATGTCGTCGGAATAGTTTTGCACTTTTCTTCTGCTACTGACTATGTAAGGTCCGTGTAGTGACGGATTAAGAATACGGAATGTCACTACCCCAATTCATCCCGTGGGTGTCGTATGAGCCGACTAAGGGCGCAAAACAACGCAGGGCACCAGCACTGCAAAAAGAAGGAAAACTTGCCACAAACCCTATATCAACCCGTCTGGCCAGCGTGGTATAGTAGGCCAAAACCTCCTTTCTAAGGAGAGGCCTATGTCCAGTAGTGGACTATTAAAGGCTGTTGATGTGTGATGTGATGTAAGACCAATGGCTTTCTTTTCTCGATGTCTTGGATGACTTGTCACTGATACAAATGTCGTCGATGTCTTTCGTAAACGGTACATAAAATAACATAAAATAAAATATTTAATTTTCATGATATGGCAATGTTGTTGTTATCACAATTGATGACTTATATTATCGACAGTCTATTGACACTGTGAATTTATGCTAGTAGAATACCGATATTTAGACCGATGTCAGCAGCATCTCAATAGCGTGTCAATGGCGTGTCAGTGGCTTGGCGTTAATATAAAATAGCAGAATTGAGGCCCTGATTCACTGATGACAAGCTGACAGAAGTCAATTGTTCTCAGTCTTAAAACTACAAATGCTTTAAGCAACTGTAAGATATCTTCATTATCAACATAGTTAAGTATATAGTAAAGTAATAAAAAGGAGTAAAGATAAATAATTATAGATAAGCCAAGTCGTTAAATTAGTTTGCCACAGATAAGAAAATTGTAGGTAAGTGTGAAAATCTTAACACACAATATTATTTCATTCGATTTATACATTAGGGATGCCCAAGTACCGAATGCGGTAATATCGAGTTGCAATATCCACCCTTTACTATGCCGCATAAATGTATGGTTTAAAATGTGTTTACGATTTATGTTTTAAAAATAACAAGTAAAAATAAATATATTTAGTGAAAAGGGTAAAAATCTGCAGAAGCGCAAATAAATTAATTTTTATAACCACTGTTGATTTAATCTACGAGTGTCTTGTAAAAGCGTAATGCCTTAATATCGAATTAAATTTTGATACATCGTATAGCACGATATATAATTACGCATCGTATTGGACATCCATGTGTATGATCTACTTTAAAATAGTTCAAGGTATTTTTAATTTACACGTGAACAAATATGGATATCAAATAAAGATCTCATTTAGGAGAAAAGAGATAATACTTTTGTATTATCTCTTTTGAGATTGTATGGAACGTACAGTATACAGGTCTGGGTGCACAGTAGTGCCCTCGCCAAGACGAGCCAAGCGAAGCGCAAGAGCACTACCTACCTTTTCTTCGGGTGCTTCTTCGGTTTTTTAAGCCTCAACTTGGGTTTGGATTATACTTGCTTTGACATACTAACTATATATTATATTATTTGATTAAGATTTGAAATCGGAAAATAAATAGTCGATTAGGTATGCCACACTATACCCGACAACAATAAGTAGGTAAAGAGATAGTTTATATCCAGTAAAAGTGTTGCAATTTTCTGTTCTCAAATTGTAATCTATCCACTCCATGTTTCACAAATCTTACTCTCGCCATATAAATTTTAGTGAATAAATAAATAAAAATAAATAAGTAAAATCTTAAAATTTTGGTTTCAAACAGCTGACTATTGGCTACAGGTACGGAAGCAAGACGGACCACGGACACTGGATATTTAATTTAGGTACTTTAGGTAATACGCAACATTTATAATCGCTATATTGTCCTTTACATCAATATTAACAGTACCTACTTATGTGCACGCGGGACGGCGAATAAAAACCGACTTCTTACGGTTACGCTGGTATTCATTAGAAAATATAAATAAAATAAATGAATGTAAAATACTTTTTTTCTAAAGCCCGCTTTAGAAAAAAGTATTTTACGGGCGTGCGTAAATATAAATTCTGACAGACTTAGATAAGTCTGGGTATCGTATAGCATTAGCTAATTGGATTGATTGAAAGATAAAGAAATGTAAGTATGCGAGACCGGAGAGGCTTAGAATTGGATTTTGGAGACGAAAATTGAAAAGAGGTGGTTTTATTGACAAAACTCGTATATAACGCAAACGTTAGCTTGAAGGCCAGCAGGGGTTTGACGTGTAGACCAAACTATCTTGGTATCGATGACATGCTGAATAAAGAGCCTATGTAAACGAAAGCGGCGAAACGCTTATATGAAAGGTTGAATGATAAAAAAGGAAGCTCTCGAGGTATGTAAGGATAAAAGTAAGTGTCGGGCTAACGACTAATGTGTTTAGTTGCTACCTCATTATGTGAATCGCACAACGTTTCTATAAGTTTTGCGAAATATATTCAATTCCTCTCATATCTACTTTTTAGTCTGTATTAAATAATGACTTGAGGAGTGGAGGACTTAAAAGCTATTTTTTTCATTCAAATGGATTTCTTTTAAATTCAAAATTAATGAAGCCCTCATGAGGAGGAGTACTTAGTTTAGTTTTGTATTTGTTAAATATGAGAAGTAAACAACGTATGGCAATCGATAATATTACAGCCTCTAACTATATTTTGCCCCCTTTGCCAAAATGAACTGATACCTCAGACCACCATAGCCAAATTACTTTAACAAACATTTAGTTTTTACTATTGATACAAAATGCTTACTAATTTAAACGTTGACTTTGAGTAAACTTGACTTCAATTTTTCTTCATAATCTAACAAAATAAATACACATAGTCAATTTTAAACAAGTTAGTATACGTGAGACAACTTATACAGTATCATGAAAGTTTCAAATAAGAAGTTGGGTTAATTAAAAGGGTCGATTTTAAGGCCTCATCGACCCCCAAATTCAGAATCCCTGCTCTAGACAAAGCCTTGTCTGGCCTACGCCTAAAAGTTTCAAACTATAATTATGAATTCTACGTGTTATCAATGCGATACGAGCAGGTCATTGCATAACTACACCAGAATACTCGTAGCATGTATGCTTAAAGAACAATGGCGGGTCTCCAAACAAATACATATTTGGAATCAAATTGCACCTTGTAGTAAAAAAAATATTAAAAAATTCGGCTACATTTTTAGAACCTATGTGTAAAACAATTGTTGTTTGGGAGAGGCTAGGAAAAAAGATATTAGCATTTGATTTTTTTAGTTACGCACCGTAATTTTTTTATAACATAGCTGCATAATGTTTCTTTTATGTCATCAATTTGTCTATGTTTATCAACTTTTCAAATTGTTTTTTGTATTGTTTTACATAATCATTTGATAATTATAACTTTATGTGTGCCTTTTTAAAAAAAAAGAATGATTATAGTCCACTAGCTGTAGAACTTTCGTAGGTTTTATTTTTATGTCACTTTTAATGTATCTGATATATATATATATATAAGAGATTTCCACGTATATAGTCACTAATCACGATATCTCTGGAACCATTAGAGATAAAGACTTGAAATTTGGTAGGAATATTCTTTTCACCGAGTAGAGGTCAGCTAAGAAAGGATTTTAAGAAATTAAAAAAAAAAAATGTAAATAGCAAAACAACGTTTGCAGGGCCAGCTAGTGTATATATAATATTCAATAAGTATATTCCCTTTCCTTAATTTATTACCTATTTCAACATGTAATTAATTTTAAATTCTAAACCTTAGTTTTTATATATAAACACAGAGCGCAAACGTCTGTCAAGAGTTGTCAAAAAACCTTTGCTTTTTTTCAGCTTGCAGTTGCCACTTCTTTTTTTCTATCTTATATGCCACTACAGGATTTTCAAATACGTAAATAATGCGTTTAGTAATGCACCACAAACTACATTCTTTTTTTTATTCAGCACTTAAAATTATAAAACTATTATCTGATTACCTTATTAAGACACTTTATTGGACAGTATTTCCACAACTTGAAAAAAATGTCTGTATCATGGTACCACTAAACTCATAAAGATAACTAAACTAGTAAAATACGCTTATAATTTTTTTTTTCTTTTCCTCAGATTTTACAGACTAAGACTAGACTATTTACTAGAATTAGTTTACTATGAATGACATTTTAAAATGCTCAAATTATACTCAACTACGAATTCGCCATTGCTCTTTGAATCATTATAACTTTTGATACAACCATATGATTACATGATTACATTAGAATGTTTAAAATATAGTTATGCTTACGATTTTCAAAATATTTTTTCTGTATTTTCAGCACCCCTGTATCTGAAAGCCACCATATTGGAAGCGAATAAAGCCGAGTGCTATTGGAAAAGCGATAGATTTGCGCCAACTATATCTGCAAGATGGGAACCAAAGTCTTCTACAGTGAAATTGTCAGTCTACAAAGTCAATTTGAATAAAGTCAGTATTTATATAACCCTCGGATGTAAGACGAAAATGGCGAAAAAGGAAAACTTGGGAAAAGCGATCATAGACGAGAAATCTACAGCAGCTGATAGTTGGAAACAGTGTCTTTCAGAGCCCGGTGTACCTAAAACCTTTTGGGTAGATTTTGAATAACGACTTCAGTATTGTTAAGAGCAACTATGACGAACTTAGTTTTATAAGAAATGCAAACGGACGGGGAATGAGCACGTTGTGAATATTTAAATAATAATTAAATGTTTATTATTATATTGTGTAAATTAAACAAATGTTACAAAGATATTATTTAAGCCAGGCAAAATTTTATATCACAATTTTTTAATTAAAAACGCTTACTGTTAATTAAATGTTCATTATTTTGTATGTTTTTTTCACAAAGATGATGGTGTGACGTTTTGCATATACATCCCATACCTTAGTTCGTTTATATGCTGAGATGTACTGCTAAGCCACTTAAACAGAAGGACCAACGTTATTATGTTGGTGTGTGTGCAGACAGACCGAGTTTAGCAGCCAACAATTGGACTCTATTTATTCGACGCTTCCATAGCTGTGACAATCTATTGAGACATATTAATAATTTGGGAGGCCGACATGTATGTTTTATGTTAAAAATGTCGTCTATATTCTGCTCAGTACATTCTGCGAAGTATTCCATAGGTTTTGTTGAAGGCTAAACTAGCATGGAGTCTTAGGCCCGTATTTTTAAAGACGCTGATTGTCTGAAACTAGTGCAGATCAAAACTTAACCGATTATAGAATGCGTTTTAAGCTTTACTCAGTTGAAACTACTTTCAAGTATTAATTTATGATTATTTATAAGATTTAAACTTATAGTCTGTTCTCAATTACGTTGCCGCATGATCGACATTATTATCTCGTATTACGCAGCTAATTATTAAGAAAAAACATTTACCAACATAATTTCTGTGAATTTGTATACAGTATACTGTTTGCTAGTATGTAACAAGCTTGTTCTTCTAAAATTTAATATAAAATATAATAAAATAGAAATGACTAGTTACCAGCTATAACGTTCACGTTATTTGTCATCACTTGTCATGTTCAATTGTCAAACAAATGTTTTATATTCCTAAAATTTATATAACTACTAGAATAATATTACACTCTTAACACAAACCAAAAGGTTGTGGTGATTTAAATTTAAACAAGTATTGTGTGTGAAATGTGAATTTCAATGAATTTAATATCAATTAAGGTCAATTAAAGTGAATTGATTATGTATGACAAGTAATTAAAAAAAGTAAGTAAGCGTAAGCAAAATAAAGTAAAGTAAATCTTTTGTATTTATTCAAAAAGAAATCATCGTAAAACACATCAATTGCCCCTAAAATGCCCTGGTAATCACCGCTTGAGACTAGTTTCAGCTTATCTCACGTAAACAAAGATCGCACGGATGGCGTAGTGGTTTAAGCGGTCGCCATGCGGCTCACTACTACGCTGAGTGTTGTGGGTCCGATGTGGGGACATGGGACGACACTGTGTAATCCAAAAATTGTTTCATGTATGTTTGTACAGTCCCCCGCGACACATGATATATTCCTAATGCGGGAGTTGTCTTTAAATAAAAATAAAACAAGGGAAACAACAGTCAAAATCTATACCTGAAAAATATTTCGACATAGACCTCGTTCTAAAATAAGTTATCACTCACTTGAGTAAGGATCGGTGAATCTCGTTTTCAGACTATGTTTACGACTGAGACACCTTTAAAAATACGGGACTAAGACGGCTCCTGAAATTACCCCAATATATTTTAGAAGAAGATACAAAAGCTTTGAGGCAAGTACATCGGGAAAGAAAGTGTAATAAAATTGTTGTTCATACCTCACATTGTTAATGCACATCCACCAGGTTAAGTGGTGGTAATGATGTTCATGTTCCTGGTGTTCTAGAATCTAACTTTAACATTTTTTTTATGCTTACACAAACATTGCCATGTGTTGTAGTTAGTTAACAAATTAAGTAACAACAAATTATTATTAATTAGTTACCTAATCTGTTTCAGAGGCTTAGGCCTGTTTGTCTATTGGTTAGTGACCCTGACTGTTAAGCCAGAGATCGTGGGTTTGATTCCCACCCAGGACAATATTGTGTGATGAGCATGATCATTTTTCCGTGTCTGGGTTTAATTTATCTAAAATATTTATTTATTTAGAAATATTCAAGTATGTTTCAAGACCAGAATAACCATAACTTAAACAACAGATGACGTCAATCCAGTCAAAATGATCGAAATCGTGGAAACCGAATAGGTAAGCACCATGGGTAACTATGAGAAAAAATCCTTTTTGACTTTGTATGTAAATATAAGATAAATCTTGATCTCGATTCGAAAGAAGAGCAGCTTCATGAATCCTTAGCTTTGTTCACTGAATTATTAGTACGTACTTAGTGATCTAAACGTTCTCCTTAAAAGGGATGTTGATTGTCTAATACAGAAAATTTGTTAGGTACATTAACACAAGCAATTACATCTAGGTTTCAATCGAGAATATTCCATGTCAAATCTAGATCAAGTAGAATAGTAAAGTTCCCAAAGGCAGATCCTAAAGAGAATCGTAACCAAATAACTTTGTGTTGTCCTTGTGGTATTATTCGAGAAACTAGTCTAACATTCCTATCTATTCTTGAGTTAAACTTAGATATGCAATAAGTTTTCAAAGACGGAAAGTTCTGACCCAAGATTATTATGCTAGATCTTAAACAAGCTGCTCAGTTCAATGCGCAATATTGCCGCATAAACAGATTCACAAACAGGATTTACGTTCTTAGCTTTTATTATTTAATATCAAATTATAAGTGCCCTAATTCTATTTGCAACTGTTTTCAAGTGTGCGTTTCGATTGCATTCAGCAACTACTTGAGTCAGAGATCTAATTCTTTTTGTCAATTGAAGACTAAATTTGTCAAAATTGTCGAAAAAAACAATCGATAGAGATTATAAGTTATAAATCAATATTTTACGAAATATTCACCTTGGAAGCTATGGCCGCGCAATGGTCCACTTGTTGTTTCTTTTTTGTTGATTATTTCTTTAAAAATTAAGACGTATACAGTTAAACTGTTACAAGAAGAAAGGTCTTAATTTGTTAAAACTAATGAGAGAAATAAATACAACCAAAGTTTAGTTAAACAGAGAAAATCAAAACGTTACTTTGTAGCCTGATATATCATACTCATTATCTATAAGTGCTAGGATTTGACGTGAACATCCATTTATTCGACATATTAACCTCATGAGAATGACATATCTTTTTTCAGAACAGTTTTCAACAGCTTTTAATAGCCCACTACTGAACATAGCTCTCTTCTTAGATAGGAGGCTTTAGCCTACCATGCCACGCTGGCCAGACGGGTTGATATAGGTTTTGTGTCAAGTTTTCCTTCTCTTTGCAGTGCTATTGCCTTGCGTAGTTTGCTCCCTTACTCGGCTCTTACGACACCCAAGAGATGAATAAGGGTGGTCACACTCCGTATTCTTAATCGTTCACCACACAGCTCATTTCAGCGCGTTCAATCTCAAAAATAATCTTATGTCATACAATGTTCATAATTCGATTTAATTAGGGAATACCTTTTAAGTTGAGACTACAAGGAAAAGATCTAGACAGTCCACCAATATACTTAGTAATAACTACCCATAGTTAATGTCAACGATCTCTCTTGAAATATTTTACTTATCGTGCACATAACGTTACGTGCGATTTGAAAGTTTTTGTTTAATAAGTGGCACTTGGAGATCTGCTTCTGATAGTTATTATAAGCCGTAGGAGTAAGCAGATTTGCTGGTTAATATTATTACCACCCTCAAAATAAAATAAATAATAATATTTGCTTTTGAAATGTCTATTAATTGAATGTATGATTAAATACTTGCGTTATATTCTTGATTCATACTTTGGAAAGCACTGGCCTAGACTCAAGGAACATGATGTCTTTATATTACTCTACAAACGTAGAATTCAATTCAATCTTTTCAATGCGGTGTTCGATTTATTGTTTTCAATAGTTGTACTCCATGGTTTGGTATTAAGCGAGAGCTACGTGAATAGAACTAAGACCTATATTATAATAGCATTCAATCTCTTTTGTTTTAACTTTCATAATTGTTACGTAAAATGAAGTGAAACCAGAAAACAAGACCAAAAATTTTGATGTGAGTACAATTAGGCGAACCTTGAAACTGAACTTGTGAAGTTCAAAGTTCATTGTTTAAGAATAATGTTAGTTTAGAAAAATAAGTTAGTTTTTTCTCAAAATTATTTTATATTTAAAAGGATGACTTCAATAGACAAATAATTATATTTTGATAATTTTCTGTAAATTGATTTTAGAAATTTCGACATTGTACCTAACTCATGTATTTTTAACGACATTTTTATTCGTCCTTGTAAAGTTTTAAGAAATGTTGTTACGTGTTACCAAGGAATGTACAGGTCTTATTATATGTGTTTTAAGTAGCAATGCGTTGCGTTTGTCTACTGAACAAGATAGGTATCGACCTAAAAAAAAGATCCTTCAATGAATCCTTCAAATAATGTCGTTTACCAGTTCACCAAGTTGTGTACCCGTCCGATATATGCAATACTGGTTAATTCAGTGCTAATTTACGTAGCTTCATAGCCTTGTCTAAATGTACCCTTATACCAAATATTTTCACGGCTCTCAAACTGTTTTAAATCCACCAGAAATAGGAAAAAAACATTGAAAGGAAAAGGCGCAAAAGAGCAATTACAATAAATAATGTTAAAAAAGGAAGCAAGCTTCTGAAAGCATCTAGGCATGTTAATATACCGTCTCTAGGCACCGGACTTTTCCAGCCGGTCATCGTCGAGTGGGCAGGGCGGCAGCACGGGACCCTTTCCTTCCGGCTGACGCAAGTCCTTTCTGAGTACGGGTGCATCTGGAAGTACCTGCACTCGGTCGCTAGGAGGGAATTGAGTCCCGCCTGTCACCACTGCGAGGGCAGGGAGGACTCGGCTCAGCACACGCATCTAATTTGCCCGGCTTGGGCGCCTCAGCGCTGGGTCCTCATTGCAGTTATCGGAGGGATCTCTCGCTACCGGCCGTCATACGCTCCATGGCCGGTAGTGACAGATGTTTCACCGCGG